ATTGAGGAGAGACATTCAGAGCAAGACATGCCTCTCCAAGGGCAAGAAGGGGGGTAGAGGTTTCCATTAGCTTTCTTCTTGTTATCATTCCTTTGTATCGGCATCCCTTGACCTCAAGAACCCCTCCTTCTTTCTCATCCTTTTATCTCTCCCATCCTTTTATCTTCTGTATCTAACTCCATCCTCTCTCATCTTTCTTTCTAGAAATTCCTGCTAGCCTATTTTTTTCTTGCCTCTTCAGCCTTTTCAGCTTGCTTAATCCTCTTGAAATCTTCTGGCCCAAACTCCCATCCCCTCCACTTCATCTGTTTTGCATGCTATACCTGATGCTTAGATATCTCTAGGGCATGAGAAAACCTGCCTTATTCCCTCCTGTCCTAGTTGTCTAAATAGCCAGTTCCCCAGCATGTGTCCGCACACTTTCATTCACAGGGGCTGAAAGGACAGTAACCTTTAGAGCTGGCCCAAGCTAAAATTAAGGCTGCAGACACCAGGCACCAAATGTTTCAGTCAGCTCCCTGGTTTATCCTCTAGAGCCTCCAAATGGTTTCTATTAGTATTCTGAGGGAGAGCTCACTGATGGAATTAGTGAGAAACCAGACTGTCAATTTATTTATACCCAGCCTTAGGGCATAACCATTGTGCATGTGTAAAGCTATTGAGATGCAGAGAATATTTTATAAGTGTATCTGTATATGTATTGACTGGAAGTGAGTTTGCAGGGAAAAGCTGTTGCCCCAAATATTGAACAGTGACCAAAAGGAGGAGAGGCCACTGAAGTGGCCATGATGCATGCCAAAGATCCCTTTCAGGAAACAATTGATCCTTCTAAAATTTTCAGTCTACTTGTGTTTATAAATATCTTCCATCTCTAATTTTATTGTAGCTCTAGTTACCCTTGTGGATTATTTTCTAATTTAACTTCTGGAGTCCTTCTACCTTCTTCAACAATATCTGTGTTATGAAACTATTGCTGCCTTTGGCTGCGGGAGTATTTAAAGCATGTGAGTAATGAATAACAAAGTTTTTCCGTTGCATTGTCCTTTAGCTTGTGAATTATTTTGAAGGCAAGTTGAGAGATATTGGAAACATTTAGTTGTGGATATTTGTTTGTTGCATCAGTGATGAGCATGAAGGAACCGTTTTTCCAGTATGATTTGATCAATTTTGTTTAGGAAAATTTGTATTGACAATGTCCTGGCCAAACAATATGTCAAGGAATAGCTTTTTTTCCAGCCTTCCCGTTTCCTATTACAGTGACAATGTCAATTAAGAGATGCAGGTGAGCATCTTACTGTCCCAGCACATTTATGCTAGCAACAATTTCGGCAGAAAAGACAAGAAATGAATTGCTTTAACTAGACCAAGAGTTAGTAGACTGTCTGTTTCAGTCATCTGATTGGTCCTGTCGCCTACCTCTAGAATTTGTTTCTTCCCATGAAAAATAAATATATCCAAAACTTGGACTGCTATTAGGCATCATCTACTTCCATGCTGTCTGTTGCAGTATGAAAATGTGAAAAGGGATTAGGAAAAGTTGTTTAGCTCCATTATTCTCTGTAATAGCCAGGAAACAATTAACTGTTATCCCTTAACGTGATGCCTGCAAAAGACTGCATGACAGGGCCCCTGGGACCAATTTGTATTGCTCTGTGGAGTGTGATACATCAAGCTGATGCTGGTCCAGACTGGTACTTTTATGTAACAGCAAACAGAAACCGTGCAGAAATGTGAGCTGATCATCTAAGTAGGGTAGTTTTGTTAGCGTGTTTCTGAGGCTGGACTAATTAGGACTGATGAGCTTGTCTGCACTTTCTGGTGCAGCGATACTGTTTCCTGCTTCAGAATTTGCTTAGATTCTGCTGGTTTGGAAGACTTTGCACCATGCTTCACTGCTCATGTAGACATGTCCAAAGGAGGACAGAGTGTAAAGCATTGTGCTAGAGAGAAGATGGGGTTACTGGGAATCCAGACTGGCAGGACACTGCAGGGAGGTGCTGTCAGGCAGAGCAGCTTCCCCTTGTACATCTGTGGCAAACGGAGCGTACACTGTCAACACGTGTAAACACTGCCATGGAGGTGTGCTTCCTACCAGCTTCCTAACCAAACCAAGGTGCACCGCTTCTACTGTTTTCTTTTTGCTTTCTCACATTTCTTGTAGAATATTTTCACGACTCTTGAGTTCTAAGCACAATCTCAAAATTTTTACAACCGTGTGCGCTGCACAGCTACAAGGGAAATGCCTGGAGACCAGGCTACCTGTTCAGCAATGCAACTGGGACCGATTATTAACCACTACACCAACTCCTGGCATTGCTGGCAGATGCCATCAATAACGTTAGTTTGATATGTCAGTTCTGTCAATAGCTTCACTTTAATGGTAGTCATGCTATGCACCTCCAGCTCCACCGTCTGCTGAGAGCTGAGGAAAGAGAGGGAGAGAATTATCTGAGTTAAAAAAAATAAAAGTCTGTCTGTGTTTGAAGTGAATAAAGTATGTTAACAAGTAATCCTCTAGCTGAGGTTTCCAGCTGTTACTCCTGAGCTGTCTGGTATCAAAGCAATACGGTTCCATCGTACAGCAGCTAACTTCAGTGCATGAGCAATTACTGTGTGAGGGTTCTAAGGTATATTATAGTTTTATTATTATTATTTCACTGCTCGTAGTTTCTTAAGGCCTCTTCATATCCTGAATAAAGCTACAGGGAATCATAAAGCCACAGGCTGAGTTTTAGCACAGTCACTATTCGCATCTCCTGGATTGATAGGTATTTAGTATGTTGCCTTGATCTCGGAAGCAAGACCCTGAGATGCACCCCAGGGAAAGCCGTGAGATGTTCTTTGTATTTTTTACCCCTGAGAAAATAACTCTTGCAGTGGAAATGACATATTTTTGCTCAGAAATGTCACCACTTCTGCCTGCTGATTGTAACTCTGCCACACTAAAATGTCTTAAGTAAAATAATAAAACATTTGGGAACCTATGCAGAGTTGCTAAGCACTCTCATTGTTTTGCATTAATGACCCTTGGTTCCCATAAGCCTTTCCCTCTGTTTTCTTACAGTTGTTAATTATTACTGTTGTTCATTGTACCTGGATCTTGCTAGGCAAAGCTTGCAGTGGGGGTGAATAGGATGGAGAGAAGAAATTATGTCAGAGATTTGCCCACTGTGATAAAAACACTTAAAGAGACTGTTCTGAGAGCAGAAGTCAGTTCTCCAGAAACCCTAAACCTTGCCTAGCACTGAGGCTGTGTTTTCTCAGACTGTCTGTGTGCTTTTCTGGGCAGGTCCTGTTCTTGTCTAGTTGTCTGGCCATTCAATATATGTTTGAGCTCTGTATTATTTTGTGTTACTCATGTTCATCATCATAATTACAGATTCACGTTTCACTCACAGGGTCTCAGGGAGGAAACAGAATTGCAACATCTTTACTGTAGGAAAATGTATTTGTTATCAGATAGGGTTTTGAAATGCCAAATGATATTTGTATCTGCTGGACCCACTAGAAATGAACTGGTGGTTTTCATTATGTCCATGTCGTTTGTGTCCTCTAACAGAAATGCTCAAAAAAAGCTTTGCAAGAGAGCTGCAGAAATTTATGTGAGAAATCTCTTCTTTCTTCCATCCACCTGCATGTTGTTTGGCTCAGAAATAATCTTTCAGCTATACAGAACTACTTAGACCCAAGGATCCCAAGGCACTTTACAAATGCAACAACTTTAGACAGGAAAAAAAAAAAAAAGAGGAACTTTTTTTTTCAGCCTCTTATCATGGATCACCAGAACACGTATGGCTTCATTACCAGTAAGATGTCCCCTAACAAATACCTAGAAGAGGGTCAAGTGCAGGCCATGCTGGCATGGAGCTCCCACTGTGCATAAGGCTAGTGCCAGGACTGTGAGCATGGACTCCTGAGAGTTGCTAAGGAAACAGTCTTGGAAACGGAGCTGGAGCTCCCGTGAGAAGGTTGACTGCAGCATTGGTTTGTGCTGCAAAAGCGCATAGAGCTGATACTGGCAGAGGCAGCAATTGATTCCACCCCTGATGTGTTGGCATTAAGGAGTACACGTGATGCAGTCACTAAATGCCAAAGATAAGGGATTTCGCAATATCTTAGTTTCCTTTTGGTATATCTGAGCTTTGTTTGTCTCCTGCCCTCTCATCGCTTGCGTGAAACTGCCATCGATTACATTGACATGCCTATGCAGGCTCTTGGTGTGTTTCTTCTTTACTAAATCTTTATTTTTTTAATTAGCAAAAAAAACCCTGACTATTCATAATCAGGAATCTTCCAAGTGAGGATCCACAGCTTGGAGGAGTCCTCCCTTGAAAGATGATGCTGATAATCCAAACCCTGCTTGTGCTTCTCTGTTTCTGCTAGAGAGGCATTAGCTTTTAACAGACTGAGAAATTACTTAGATGTGTTTGTTATTTTGCAGTTACTTTGCAATTGATTTTCTTAAAAAGCAATTCATAACTTGTTAAAGATCTCTTCCCCTCTTCTCTCTCCCACCCCAGTTTCCTTTTTTATGTTTACCACTGCTCAATGTTTACAATCATAGGACCTTTTTTTTTTTTTTTTTTTTTTTTTTTTTTTTTTCCATTGCTTAGGGAGATGACTTGTCTACAAAGATTATACAAAAAATGAATTCTAATGTTTTGCAATAGTGAGTTTAGAGATCCTCCTGGGCTGTGAGTCCGACTCTTACAATGACTACTTCTGCAAACGTAGTTGAGGTAGTTAAAATGCTTGCCTCTGTTTCCCCATTTGTAAAATAGAGGCTATTTTAGAATAGCTTCTGTAGACCAACTGCTGTCAATTAATTTACAAATGATTCTGTAGGGGAAATTTCCATATGTAGAAACATGAACGGAACCCCTAATTCAGAATGGAAGAAGAAACGCTCAGAGTTGTCCTCCTGCAAAAACAAGCCTGACCCTTTCTATGTACCTGTGAAGTGCACATTCAGCCTGAAACCTTCTGCCTCTCTCCATCAGGGCCTGCAGCTGGGAACTCAAGAGCTGGAAGAAATGGGAAGCAAGTTTTGCCTTGGTTTGCTCATTCTGCACCTCAAATCCTTGCCCTGCAGCAAGAAGGTGATGGCTCAGGCAGCACTCTTGCTAGATCTGGAGGAGGAGATAACAGACCGGACACAAAGGTCAGTGATAGTAGCATTCAGAGGGTTCTCCTGTGAGACAAGTTGGTGTAGATATGTTTTGGGTTTAAATCTGCAGAAATGGACTTTCGTTATGGCTGAGGTTTGCATCTTGGGAACTGGAATGTATTGAGAGTAATTGGAAATAGATACAGTTGACTCCCAAGGAAACTACTAAAACGGTGGTTCCATGCCCTGCAGCCATCCATGTGGATAAAAAAGGTGAAAGAAAAGAACCTGATTTCTATTTTCAAATGATTTTTTTTTTTTCCTATCAAAACTGATTACTGGAGCATAAGGATGGTACTGCCCCAGAAAAACGTATCAGCAGGAAACATTTTTCTGCTCACTGGAGTGTCAGGTGGTGTTTTGTCCACCTCAGATCCTCCATGGAAGGAAGAAGACATTCTCTAAGAGCTTCAGGGCAGGGAACAAATATTGCAGATTAGAAAAAGATTTTGACATCATGATTTAGAAACTGTAGGCCTAATTCTGCAAGGATACTCACAGAATTTCTCTTATCCTCACTGAATTGAGTCCTGAAGACATTCAAATCATATGTTTGTAACTTTCTGATGCATAGGAAGAAGTCATGATCCCACCGATTATTTAAGAGGTGTCTTTATAAATTACAAAATTAGTTGCTTCTTATATTCAGTAGGATGTATTTAAGTGAGGTTGCCCCATTATAATTATATGAGGAACTTAACCTGGATAGGTGTCAGAGTATGGGACTCTTCAGCTTGAATTTGTGATGAAGCAGAAATACATATATTCTTTCTAGGCCACCATCACTTGTTAGTGCTATATGCAAGCACATATGCTTGCAATAATGTTTTTCCAAGACAAATGGAGAAAGAAAACTTAGTGATGTGATATGATTTGAAGCTCCCCAATGGCTTTGTCATCAAAGAGCTCTCTCAGCTTCATCAATGAAAAGCAAGGTTTTCAGTTGCAGAAACGCTCCCATAATTTATAGCAGGCTTCCAGTCTTCCCCCTGCAGGAATACTTAACCGACATTACCACCACCTGTTCCTCATGCTGAAAACCATTCTTACAAGCTTGTTCGCAGTTTTTAATGTTTATGAGGGACAATGAAGAAAGAGGGCTAAAACGTGGAGACATTCCTTTGGATTAGCTATGCTCCCTTGTACATGTGAACGTATAAATGAAGCAATTAAGGCGTACGCTAAACACCATCCATGTTGTGGATGGCCATCCGACAAATCATTGGGACAACTACAGAAGCCTGCCTGGGTGGGTGGTTTTGAGATATAAATCAAACTCTCGCTTTTGAACTGGAGCTAGAAGGGCCTTTGCATGAAAATAACTTCTCTTATGGGAAGAAAAACATCGAAGCCTGACTAGCCTCAGACACTGAAAAGAAGCCATCTGTTCGCAGTAACTCAGTGAGCATTTCCCCTGATCTTCGCAGTCTTCTGTTACTTCTTCCTTTAGTTGGTTTTATATTAATGGGAATTAATTTCATTTTCCTAATGTTGCTTGGTTGCTGATCAGTACCAAAATAATAGTAAGAAGCTCTCTAATTACAAATATTTTTAAAGAAGTTAACAACAACAACAACAAAAAAAGGTCCCCTTACTTTGTAAAACTCCCATATTGTTCCAGATGTGTCCATGGTAGCTGAAAGCAAAGCCTTCTACCTTATCCCTTCAAGTCTGCCCAGCATTAGTGAGTACCTCCATGGCATCCAGGGATGCAACGTCACTGCTGAAAGGCAGTGTGACAGTTACTTGTTCATTTTCACTCCACTGAGTATAATTACAAATCTGTGGAATTTTAGTGGCTTAGGTGCAATTTATTAACATTTTCAGACCGGGTAAACAGCTGAATTGTTTAATCCCACCTAGATGTGTCATATTGCAGGAGCTTGTTGCAGAAGATTGGGGGAAGGGGGAGATGCAGGGACCAAAGGATTTGCTAGCATATTCTTTAAAAAAAAAATAAATAATTCATGGAAAATGATTGTGCAGTATGTTGATTCTGATTCAGAAAATTAATACTTCGCTCCTGGGTTTCTGTGAATCTAGCCAAGAGAATTGCATGATTTGATTTTAGCGGGAATAGGAACTCTATTGGAACCAATGGAAGAATGCAGAATACAGAGAGCACACTGATGTGGGCAGGAGGGCAGCTATTTCTACACCTTGCTCTCAACTCACAGACTTTGGAAAAAAAAAAAAAAATTCTTCATCAGAACATTTGTCTGGTGGAAGCTGAGGGGTGTACCACTCAGTCTTATTTTACTCTGTAAGGATTAAGTCTAATGTAGCTCTTTTAGGTAGCACAGGAAGGTCACCAGAACCTTGCAGTTTGCTGGTATGTCATTACATCAATGGAAATTATACTCTCTTTCTTCCTAGACTAGACCCATCTTTATGGGTTTAAGGAGAATGAAACTTTTGTAGTTTAAAACTAGCTCTGTTGTCTTCTGTGGTTATAACAAAAATGTACAGCATCCTTGAATGCTTTCTGTACTCTCTGCTTCTGAAAGTGTGAGTAGATGTGAGTGAAAACACACAAATTCTTGTCAAAAATCTTTGCCACAGCAGAGTCAGGCTCAGGGATCCTTCAGGTGCAACACAGGATAAGTCTGAGCAATTACCTTGTGCAATTTTTTTTTCCTATATGCTTTACATTCTGAACAGTGGTGACTTTAAACAGCTTGCAAGCTATCCCTATTCCAGAAGTCTGCACTGTCCTGGTTCTGGGAAATTATATTCACAACAGACATTTAGTGGGAAGCAATGGCTCTGACTGTAGTTAATGTTTTCTGGCAGAGGAAAGTGTGTCCCAGACTGTCCTGCTGACATGTCTAGAAGGTGGTACAAATATGGGTGATTCTTATCAGAGCGGTATTCACCAGTATTAAAAGAAAAGAATTAGTATTGTTCAACCTTGATGAAAATGCAAGCTTTATTTAGATAATAGGGTTTTGTTTTGCAGAAAGCAAGCTGAAATTAAGCTGTGAGCAGTGTGATGCATTGCAGTGCTCACATTAAATAAGTCTATATCAATCTAATGTGTTTTCCAAGTATGAGGTTCTGAGTGCCCGTCTCTGTAGTACTCCAGGTGACGGGTGAAGGCACGGAACAAGAAGTTAATCCAGCACTGGGTATAGATGACTCCCAGATGAAATGTCTCATTGCAAAGGTACATAGATCAAAGGCTGCAGAGCCAGAGGTCTCTTCTGTTGTGAAAACCCTGTAGTTCATGTCCTGCATTTGTCTCTGTTTGCCCCAGTGTCTGGTGCCTGTGGCTTTGACTTGGCATCTCAGCATCTTCTTCCGACAGCAAACGTTTTCACCTGTCAAGGTTTATAACTGTATGTGTCTTTTAATTTTCCTTTTCAGGCTGTCTCTGCTCTGGGTATTTTGCAGCCTTATTCTTTCACCACTGCTGTGAAGGGGATGAAGGAGCAGGCTGGACCCTGCCTGCTTCCGTGGAATAAACTATTTGCTGTGCACTTTATATAGTTCTGTCAGAATCAGTGGTTAGCAAATTGGAGCAAAGTAATAGCTGTCAGGGAAGTGACTGGTCTAATAGAGGCATCCTGTGTGAATGGGGGATTTCTCACGTCAGATCAGGTCCGTTGTGTTCAGTGTACTGTCTCCAGTGAGTCAAAGGTGGAAGAAACCTTTAGCACACCTAAGTACGGTTTGGTACACAGGCAAGACTTTCTTCTCATCCACAGTCTATCTTTCCCCTAAAGCATGAACTGTAAACAGGGTCATTTACAAGCACGAGCGGCATAGCTGTTGGAGTAAGTTTGCAGCAGAGGCAGAATAGCAAAGTCACTGCATCAGAACTTTGATCAGTGGGGCTGTACCGCTGGTAGGACAATTGTGTATTTCCCCTAAAGCTAGGGAATCCTTGAGCATTATAAAGTTGGCCTAACAGCACTGTGTCTCTGGTCCTCAATATATCTATGTGGCAGTTGTCTCCCAAACATGTGAAATATATAAAATATAAAATGCAGTACACACATAAGATACTTCAGAGCTACGGTGTGTGATGGTGAGGAAGAGAGGTTAAATTGCTCCAGGTATTATCCAGTCTCTTAATTAGCAACCTGTACTCCTTCCACACTTCATATTCATGATCACACTTATTCAGGCATTGTCCCCCTCACCTTACACAAGACCTACTTAGGGACTTTCGTTGTTTCTGGCTTTTCTTTTCACAGGTGGTATTTAGGTGTTTCTCTGCACCAAATTAGCCCTTTTTCCACCATCATTGAATAGGGTTGGTCTTATGGACCATTCTGCCAAGGTCAAAGGCCAAATATGCGGAGAATTTTCTGGGCTTTGCAACCACCTTCAAAAAGCAAAGCAATGTGTCAGGTGCTTATACAGGCACTTTATTCCGCCTTCTCTCAAACTTGGCTTCACAAGCCATTGCCCTGCTATTGCCATGCCCCAGGAAGAATCACTAATTCTGCTTTTCCAGCCTCCCGCCGTGCCTTGTAGTCAATTCTGGCATTCAGAAGCTCTCTGCTGGGAAAATTAAATGCCAGCTTGTACTTCGGACATCATGTTTTTTGATAATATGTTTCATGCCTCATTTGCTGTAAAAGCAATTAGGTTTTAAGTCAACGCTGTCCAGGTAGCTTCACATTTTTCGTGACAAAGAGGATGGGCAGTGACTGTTTGTTCACTTAAAGCAGGTTTGAGAGAGAAAGAAAGCAAGCAACCCCTGCTATAGATATCCTCCTCTTCTTCCTCATGGTTTGAACTGATGGCCCATTCCTTCTTTTTCTTTTTCTCTGCCCTCCAGGTTGTGCTAGAAAATGTTTTGCATACACTGCAGCAATTGTAGCCATTTGTTCATGAGATACATCTTATATGTTGAGACAGGCTTTTGCAAAGTCATTATGCATTTTCTGCCGACTCAGATATTATTAATCTCCTGTGTTTCTTCATCATTTCTTACCTTTCTTGAGCAGAGCCAAATCTTTCTCCACCCCAGATGGTAAATATGT